CCTGTTCACCTGAAAATGTGGAGTTGTCTGGTCATGTGACAGGGGATAAAATCTGAAAAGCACCGTTTCAGGACAACAGCTCCCCCTAGGGGGGTACATCTGAAGATCGACCACTTCCTGCTGGATGGATTGGCATGTTTTATCAAAAACAAAAAAAAAATTCAAGTGCACAATTAACGACGCAAGAAAGGTCAAGGTCAAGGTCAAGAAGAAGAAAAACTCTATTGGCAATTTGACACCATTTCTGTGGTTGAGCAACGTGCAAGTCAGCTACATCGTACAAGAGCAACTTCACAAATATTTGGGTCTGTGTCGGCCGTGCGTCTGCCTCCTTCATTGAAATGCCTGATACTACAATACTTTGCTAAGATTGTCCTCAGTGACCGGGGGGCAACAAGTCTGCCTCATCTGATTGTTATCAGCTGCTACAAAAACATCAAATCACCCCCCCGCCCCCCAACAACCCACTCCAAGACCAGACCACGCCACACAGACCAGAAGGGCATCGGTTCAATTTCCCGCCAATTTTCTGGCAACAGTTTCCTTTAATCTCTCCTTTGAACCCACTAAAACGCCGTGGGAAGCTGGTGGCAAGGCACTACTTCAATGATGCCACCCGCCGTGACCCGTCCCGGGGTCACACCGGCTTTGAGTCAACACGATTGCACAACGTTTGGCGACGGCGAGCCTCCGTATGGCTTCTCGCCTCTGATTGGACGATTCCAATCCACTGGTTGCTAATTGATCTAATTGTTTACGGTGATTGTTAGAAGCTGAGAATCGAACGCCTCCTCTAACGGAGAACCACCAACCTCTTCACCATGCCCCCTAGTGGACATGTACCGAACTACACCCCCACGAGTCTTTGGTGTTCACTCTTGGCACAAGCAGCGTGTCGGCGGTTTGAACCCGGCACCAGGAAAACAACGCAGGACAGGTCAGACGAACACGCCCGACCTGGTCGACATTCATCAGAGGTACGGGACAGTTGGACAGTTGGACAGTCGGACAGTTGGACAGACGGAGTAAAAGCGCAAAAAAAAGCTAGCTAAACCGATATGAGTTAGTGACGGCTGCACATTCACTGGAAAACAACGGAGAGCGAGGTTGGACAGAAGCAGGAAAACACCACCATCATCATCACCATCATCACCATCATCACCATCATCATCATCATCATCATCATCATCTACCACCAAATACACGAGGTTTAAAAAGTCATCTTAAAACGATCAGAGGGTCAAACTGTGGTCACCACCTCCACACTGGTCCACAGGACAGGAAGCAACACCAGCAGAGAAGCTACTGGTACTTCAAAAACAGCTGAGGTGGTGGGGGGGGGGGGCGCGAGCCGTCAATCACAACGGGGTGATTTCTCTAAGTGCCTCCGAGGGTTTTCTTTCTTTGACTGTAGATCAGGTCAAAGTTGAATCAAAATATAAGGATATAAAACAAACAAATC